GGCAGTCTGTGTCAAGAATCACTGAACAGGCTCGTTCCACATGTACTCTGGCAAACATGGCAGCCAGCTATTCTTGCATCAAGCCAGGTCTGGCTTCCTAAATCTCCAGGGTCCATGGAGGGGCAAGCAAATAATTCTGTCTGTCTCTTACAGTATTCCTGACGTTCAGTTCATAATGAATGCTTAAAAATTTGGAAGGTCTACATCCAGGTATCAGGGATTAAAAACTGCATAAAAATGAGATCAAATATAGAGAGGTAGGTATGATTTGAGACCCCACCTGGAGTATTGTGCCCAGCTCTGGAGTCCTATGAAGAAAGGCTCTTCAGCCTGGAGACAAGAAGGCTCCAGGGAGACCTTATTGCAGCCTTTCAATACCTAAAGGGAGCCTGTAAGATAGATGGCGACTGACTTTTTAAATGAGGGTGGTGAAACACTGGAACAGGTTGCCCAGAGAAGTGGTAGAATCCCCATCCCTGGAAACATTCAAGGTCAAATTGGATGAGGCTCTGAGCAACATCTAAAGATGTCCCTGCTCACTGCAGGCATTTGGACTGGATGACCTTTCAAGGTCCTTTCCATCCCAAAACATTCTGTGACTCTATGATTGATGTTAAAACTATAATGTCCACAGAAAACAAATAGGAAAATGGAAAGAGAGCAGTGAGAGCACTAAGTTTAAACTGCCAAGGTTTCTGTATAGAATTGCAAGAAGCATAGCAAGGAAAACAAAGAAACTGGAAAATACTGTACATACTCAAGTAAGGAATTTCAACATTACAGGCTTAACCAAAGAATGGTACTAAACAAAAATATATTGGTACTACTTAAGTAAAGTTTTTAAAACTTAAAACTAATGAACACGCATAATGGGGCATGACTGATCTTTATAAACTACCATTTTACATTAGCAAAATGTAAACAAAACAACTCATTCAAAACAGCAAATAATTTTACTATTTGTTAAATATCAGAAGAATTTCCAATTTCATCTACATTTCTTTTTTACTTTTAGTAAAGAAATGTTCTCTGTGGTTTTATACATATGGTTACGTTAAAATTTCTGTAACAAACAAAATCAGTGTAAGAATCCTAAATAGTATAGGTCATAAGCAGCATATTTTCCACCCACAGCTTAACTCCTGACTGCTGGCTGCAGTAGAAGTCAGTTCCTCAGAATATAATACTTTTGCAAGCGTGAAGGCTACCTGACCTTCACACATTCCCATTCCATGACCTTTTCCTCTTAAACCTGGTTTAGTTTTGATTTGGGGTTTGAGGCTTTTTGTTGGTTGGTTGGGGTTTTTTTGGTGTGTGCGTCAGCATGGACATTCTCTTGGACATCCTCTTTCCCCATATGCCAGAAATACACAGACAACTTTAGATGGCTGCTCATACTTTATCACACCCATGAAATTCCACTGCAGAGCTGAAAGGATGGGGAGGGGGACACACAACTCACCACACTTTAGCAGAAAAGTGTGAGATGTCCTTTTAAAAGTGCATTTTAAGAAATAGATTAACTTTTTCTCCCTCTTCTCTCAAATCTCCAGTCTCAGACTGTTTACTTCTATTATTTTGAGAGATTTTATACGTAGCTGGCTTCCTGAAGTTCTTTAAGACAGCCTTTACCATTGTAGCTATAAACAACGGCTGAAAACTTTGAAAAAACTTTTGAGGCTGGAAGGTGATACACAAGCACAGGCAAAGGACAGAGAAAAGTATGATGCCTGACATTACCATTCCTATTCTAATCTTTGCACTCAAAAATCTACTAAATATGAAGACGGAAAATAACATCTACAACTTTTTATTTTTTAAAAAATTATTTAAAGATATTCTATTTAAGGGTTACTCTGTGAGGAAATAAGTATTTTCATACAAACTCAAGCTGGCAGTGTTCCTCTTACTGGCACAATGCTGTTGGATGAATTTTATAATAGCCCAAATAACATCTTTGCAGAGTTTCTCTAAATTTTTCTGCTTGGACTTATGTAGGTTGGGAGAACATTATAAATACTGCTTTTCAAAGCAGCATCATAATCAAATATTGCCATTCCAACATCAACAGAGTAGAGTAGAGTTTTTTACCCATTTTTCATAATCATTTGTGTTTCTTGGACAGCATACTTACACTTTGTCATTACCAATGTGCCTGTAGTAATAATTTTTCCTTTCGGAAGAAAGGAACTAATTAATAAGAATCTGCTTCTACTAAGATAATTCCTTCGAATAAATCTATTTTAAAGATATGTATGACCTAATTTATCCAAAATCATGAGGTATTTGTCCAAGACTCACAAGTAGCACTCACAGTTGCTGTGCAAAGTTTCTCAGCAGAGTTCTACCACCCAAATAATATCACTGCCAGCCTACCTGTAACATCTTCACTCTACAAGAAATTCTTAAAGCTAAAAAATTTTAGAACTAATGCTGGCATACAGCAGTGATGACTGATATCAAACTAATACTATGGCTGTCAGAGCTGTAGTATGTTATGTACTACAGTGTGCAACTTGTATTCTTTTGTTAAAAAATGTTGTATCTCTCATGGACCAAATATCACTGACCTCTATCACGTGCTGTAACAAGCACTATCATTCAGCTTTATCATACTGGTACAACTCTGTTCCCTGGGAAGTACTCTGAACTAGCTACGATAATGTAACCGTCAACATATATAATCCAGGGTTACAGGAACTTGGAATCTGCTCCCTTTGCAATTAACTTCCTGTCTAGGAGGAGGCAAACTAGTTAGACCCAAAAGCTCAAAACTGGCTAGCACCTAAACATCATAAGAATTCAAGGTGTGGCTTTTTGTGACTCTTATCTTCCTAATGGTAAAACAGACTTCCCAATCTTAAAAAGATTGTGGTGAGAGTAAGTGCATGAGAGACAATCATGTACTCACATACTACGACAATAACAGCCCTACCAGTATGGTAGAATAGCTTCTAAGACTTTATAAATATCACAGAAAATAACCTTTAAGTTGGATATATAGAAAACGTGCAGAAAAGTGGATGCTGTACTGCATTGTTATAAAAATCTGGTTTTGATATCAGTTACAAGTTCTTTTTCATTTATGAACCTCCACACTAAGAAGAGAACCACTACAGCTTCTACAAAAGAGTACAGAAAGAAAACAAATTCAGATTCCAAGCTCACAGCTATTTGACACATGTTTTGCAGTTCCAAGTACAGGCTTAGAAATGCCAGAATGTACATAATCCTTTTAAAGTCATATATTTACTATTGCTTTTGAATAAAGCACTGCATAAACCAAACCGTGCTTCTTGGAAGATCAAGTAAATTGTTGAATATTATGAACTTTGAACAAAAAAATCAAAATTTTGTTTAGATAGAAATAGTTCCTGCATGTCCACAGCATTGCTGTAATCACTGCTTTATACATATTTCTACCCATTCAGTGTCAGAGGAAAGAGTATTATTGGTAGGTTTGTTTCGGTGTGCCACTCTGCCTCAGTCTCACACAAAGAACTCTTTGTGGGGTCACAGATTAGCATTTGGGCAGGCAGCCAAGAGAGATGAAAGGAGGATAGCTACACTAAGGATGTACATAGCTTACAGTCATCAAACACCACAGGGAAAAAGAAAGAAGAAAATCCGTATAGTCTATAATTTCAGTAGCTGCCCTCTATTCCCTTAGTTTCTGAAAAAGTGCTTTTAGTGGAATCTCAAAAAATGTGCAGTTCTACTCTGGCACTACAGGTTGCAGAATCTTATACATAATAAGTATTACTTCAGTCCTGACATAAAGTACTATTTTAACATTCAGTTATTGCAATTTTGTTCAAGAGAGAGGCAGGTACAGTCATATCTTGACAGAGGAGACATGTATACACCTCAGCATTAGGTAACAAAAAACCTTGTTACACTAGAGTGTATGTTTAAAAAAAAAAGGTGGAAAGATAATTCGGAATAATCAGCATGTCTGGAAAATGGGAAGCAAGCTGCCATTGTAGAAATCATTGTAAAGAAATAGAATATACTTCTTTATAAAAATCACGAGCAAATGTTCTAATAATACTTTCATTCATGTGTCTATACTTCCATCCATCTATACAAATTAATAGCAACCATACAGCGCTCAGTTGTGAACAGGAAACACCGCCTGCAAAGGATGCTAAAGATATCCAGTACTTTGAAGGAATTTGCATTCTTTATGTAGTCAGGGTCTCCAATGATATGTAGTAGGATATATATTTGTGGTAGAGAAAGGATGCAAAAGTTGCATTAATTATGAAGGTTAATTAGAAACTAAAGATATTACTGTACAAGGATTAAGGATAAAAGCCTACTTAGTATTCCAGGAAACTTCTAATGGGAAACAAACCCTTCCCCATTCATTTTACCACAGGTCAGTGGTAAGAATTCACTGAACATGACTTACAGCTCATACTCACTATTTTATCTCTATTTGGAAACCGACATGAAATAAATGAATAGCTCAGTCTTCTGTGCACAACTGACCTGCACAACAACCGCTATTCACAGTTGGCAGTCTGAGCAGAAAATCTAAGGATTACATTGGCACCGAGTCTGAAATATGCTCTGAAACCAAATGATGGTCTCTTGAGAACATAGCTGAAGTACCTCATAGTGGAGAACAACTACAACTACCTGTGCTATTCATAGCCTTTGAGTAGAAGCTTTCTGTTTTCAGCATTGTCAAATTTTCAGTATGCTTTATTTGGGAAGAGTAAGTTTAGGTCATGGTAAGTTATTAAAATATATTTTCCAAACACAGTCAGCACTGTAAAAGCAAAACCGAATGCTACAATGAGTGCTGCTAGACGGAGGACTACTCACTTTTCAAAAGTGAATACACTATTTTTTAAGCAGTTAACAGACAAAAATAAAGGGAGTGTAAGAAGCAAACAGCAAAGCACTGATGGAAATCATCCAAATATAAAAACTGTATTTGAGTATATATATATATATATATAATAAAACTACTACTTAAAATACTTTGTTACCTTGGTATTTTCAATGAAAGGACAAATAGCCCAGGTTGCATTTACTTGAACATCTGGATTAGGATTTTTCAGCAAGGACCATAACAAACGAACTCCATCTAGTTGGTCAATAATCCTATTGCAGAAACAGACCCAAAGAAAGAGATAATTAATTATGGAGTAGACAATGTTAAATTTTAAATTATATCAGTTTGTTTAGAACGTTACTTTAAGAAATACTGGTATGATTTTCTTTAACACACTGGTTTGCTTTATGTAAGTACTTGTGTTTTATTGTCAACTAATCACCATCAACATATTCAGTAAATATTGGTTACTAGTGCAGATGGGTGTGAACAAATGATGTAGAGATAGAATATGTTTTCCAACTAAATGTCATTAGTGGTGTTTACTTTTTTTCTCAGCACTGTCATTCAAAATTCTTATAGAATATAAACTAAACTACATTATAACCAGAACTCATATAAACGTGAAAACAAGCATGTGACTTTTTAACGCTCTGCATGCAAAGTTAAATCTGACTTCAAGCATACTGGCTTCTTTCATATAGTAACAAATGCTTTCCAAAACAAATATTTATGCCCAAAACTATGTACTTAACTTTTTATCCAGTCTATGCTTAATGTATTTACCTTACCGTATGACATATTTTAGAATACTATGTTTCTAATCTAGCATTAGAAATTAAATGGTCACACCACAGTGCATCCCTTATTGGGCAGGAATAACGTCTAACTTGTTTCCCGTGTGTTCCTTACCAACAAGACTAACACTGAAAACTATGTTATAATTACTTAAACATGCTGTAATCAAAGTGTCTTCATGACTAGCTGAAAAATGAATTATCATCAGAATCATCTCTACACCATCTGTGTTATGTTTACATAACAATCAGGTTTGGGGACCATAACTTGACATTAGGGTCCAGTGAATACTTTAATTGGAAAGGAAGGTCAAATAAAACTTACTTAATAACATTTACAAACATGCCTTTATTCCAAAAAGATATGTTAAATCCAAAGCAGATGAGCTGAAGAAAAGCAAATACACCTTCACTATCTAACCTCAAAAATAAAAATTTGATTGTATAAAATGAATTTATATATTTAATTGTAAATACGAGATAAATTTAAATCCAGATTGTGCTTAAAAAACATCAGCTAAAACATCTCATTTCTGTTCATTATATACAAGTTTCCCAGGAAATTTTAAACTAATTATAAAGTCAGCTTCGTATGTAATCCTATCATCTGAACCAGAAAAAATAATTAAGAACATGAATTCTGTCCAAAATAACCAAGGACTTGATTCATAATGCTTTTATGCAAACTGGTTAAAAAACTATTTTTCAAAATCATACTTTTTGCACAAAGGTATGGCTAATCTAAGATTAAATTTCTTTAGATCTGCTAATTTCAATACCGCTTATTTTATGTACTGGGCTCTAAATCAATTGTGAGAAAATCAACATTCAAAGGACAAATTCAGAAGCTTTAATGCAACAAAATAAAACAGCATGATCATAAACTACACTATTACATATATATATGTTCACACAGCATGGATGACTTAAATAAAATCTTCAAAATGAGCTTTAAAATCCTTTCAAACCCCAAATGCTTTTATGAAATTTTAGCATTACTTTCCTGTCATTTCAGAAGGCATAAGGAATTTTTTTCTATATTGGAATTAATTAAAAAAAACCCCACCAAACATGAATCTTTCTTCTAGTCAAGCAGAGTACCGACCATTTACCAACATGAGGTACTTCCTCCCCAGAGGGGCTAAATATAAATGACCCAGCTCCAACCAGTATATAAAAATCAAGAGACAGAAGCCAAACACAGCTCAGATTTTTCTGCCACCCAAAAAAACCGTTTAGGCTGATTTATCTATTTTTTTGAAAGCTTCCTTTTCAATATAAAGTTTACTTTCATCTTCTTCTCAGTGTTCCTGTCTTCTCTTCAGCTTTTCAAGGTAAATTAGCCTCATTCTATGGTTCATTTTCTAAAGAAGAGTTTTGTCTTTTGCTTGCAGACCAGAAAGACCAGTTATCTTAGACCCAACAGAACAGCTGAGGATATCTGGAAGTGTAGTCCTCCATCCATTCTACATTTATGAAATAAAAGTAAAAGCCAGGACAAACTAAACAAACAAACCTCCAAATGACGCTGTTCATTGCTGATTACTGCTTTCTCTCAGTTACAGTAGATTAACCCAAATGAAAAAGAACTCTACATTCAAGAATAATGCACTTAAATTCTCATTCTGGAAGAATTATTGTTGTGTAATCACCATAAAAGCACAGACCCTTTTATTGTCATCTTGCTGAGAACATATATTTGCCAATTAAGAAAGCATCGCTAAAGAGTTCAAATGTTTATCTTTCTATGGTTTCAGTGCACAATGTAGCAGATGAAGAAAATGGGTGTTCAATGAGCATATCTGCTATAAAAGCAAAGGGAACACTAAAATAAATGGCCCTGAAAAATGTTTCCATTATAAAAGTGCTTAGACATTATTTTCTTTTTTATGTGAAAATTCCCTTTTAAAGTGGACAAAAATACACATTTAGGTTTCTTTACAAATAAAAAAGGAAGAGATGGAAAAATAGATCTGTAATCTTGAAAATGTCAGCTCTGATGGCATAAAGCTAAGCAATATCTGAATTGCTTTCACATATAATTTTCTTCCAAAAATTTATTAAAATATTAGTAGGATGCTGTAAAAAGTTACTTACCATAATAAATACAAGCAAACATACTTTAAAATTTACTTAAGTTGGCATTCAGTTCTGTATTCATCCATAGCTAGTTGCTCTGTGGTTACAGTCACTAATGATATATTTTATATATATTTTATACATATTGTTGACATATGATGATAAAATTAAACTACAGCTAAACCTGGATTAAGCAACCACCCGTGGGACCATTAAAGGACAGGTATTTTAATAGCGAGGCAAAACACTTTCTTTGAAAGCTGAAGGGAATCTCATAAAAGTGGAAACAATACAATGTTTATAAATACGATAAGGGGGAGTGTCAGGACGACGGAGCCAGGCTCCTTTCAGTGATGTCCAATGACAGGACAAGGGGCAACAGATACAAGCTGGAACACAGGAGGTTCCACAAAAATACTAGGAAAAACTTTTTCACTGTGAGGGTGACAGAGCCCTGGCACAGGCTGCCCAGGGAGGTTGTGGAGTCTCCTTCTCTGGAGACATTCAAAACCTGCCTGGACGCGTTCCTGTGTGACCTACTGTAGGTGATCCTGCTCTGGCAGGGGGGCTGGACTAGGTGATCTTTTGAGGTCCCTTCCAACCCCTGACATTCTGTGACTCAGTGATTCTGTGAATATTTAATTGATATAATTTTTTAAGGACAAAGTATCTAACTGCTTTATACAATAGCTGAACTGCATGTATGTAATGTATCCGACGTAGAGAACACTATTAATAGTCAAAATCTTAGCAGGCAAATTGCCCAAAGTAGACATCTATTTATTGTAGGTAATTGCTGTTTGGTGCTTCACTATAAGTACTTTACAACACATAAACATGCAGAGTTCAGAAGCAAGAGCCCAGAAGCAGAGCCATATCACAATACATCTGGACCAAGACGGCCAGTGGCCACCTCTTCTGATTCAAAGCTCTGTGCCTTGTTGTAGACTGTTCTTATTTGATCACTGATACAATTCAGAACAAGGTTTAGACTGCTCTGCTCCTCAAAATAAACCAAAGTAATTGTATTGGCAGTTAGAAAAAGCTGGAGTGCCACCAGGCTCTCTTGGGCTGGCCAGACACAGACATGATCAGAGCAGAGGTGAAGGGGTGGGCAGCCAACATCTCTCCTAAAAAAAGGCAACTCAAGGTTTCAGAGCAAAATATCTTCCTTGCTTGCGCACAGAACAGCTGATGTATGGTGTGTATAGAATACGTCTTGCAGGCAAATAAGTTTAATGCAATTAAACCTATTCAGAGATTACTGGAATGTCTAGGTTACAGTGAAGAGGTATTTGCTATCTGAACAGTGCAGGTAATTTAACAAGATTTTTTTAAATTACTTTTTTTAGCTGTTCATGGTCAACAGTTGTTTAATAAAGACTTTTCACATTATTTCATTTAAAAATCTTGATATCATGACATCACTGAACATCATGAGATGTCTGTGCAAGATGCGAGTCACAATTCTAGAAATTTACTTTGGGTTTGTGTTTTTTTTAAAATATCTGAGAGTAACAAAGATGTTAATCTGAAATAGTACTTCTCTTTCAAACTCAAACTTAATATTGAACATTTCCAGTAGAGACTTCAACATGAATGACTTAAACACATACACAAACACACAGCCTAGACATCTGTTTGTCATATCTATCATCTTTCTCTGGTACAGTGTTATTTGCCAGAACTTTTGAGAAGTCTGGTTTAATTGCCTGCCAATTTAGACCACAAATACAAATGTAAATAAAGTTATACTGACTCTGTATTGTGCTCACTGGTAAGATTACAGGGTTTAAGTCTGGCAGAATGTAATCTTGTCTTTTTTGAAACCACAATTTAGCATGTTTCTTAAAACTTTCACTAGTTGCTGTGGACTGCTTTGATAAATAGTATTATATAGCAATGACTCAAACTCCATCTGTTTGGCTAAAATAATTGTACATTTTAGTTTATAAGATTCAAACCCCTCAGTTTTGAATGCTACAGATGAAATCTATGGGTTTTTAAATGAAAAGGGCAAATGAAAATCTAGTGACAGTTAAAGAATAAGCACTAGTCCAATGTTTTTAGGAAGAGAAATAGAGTAACTTGTAAAAAGTTCATAAAAAAGGCAAATACACATAAAAGACGTGCAACAGACTGAGTATGTAGAACACCTTTGTGCTGTCCATGTAATAGTAAGGATGTTCAGTTACACAGTTATGCTCTTTTCAATTTAAATCAACTTATTTTTTTGCTGTGAGAGAAGCTGGCTGCCGTTCTTTATTTTACATAGCTCAAGTCAATAAGAATCACTTAATTGCTTGAAGTTGCCTTAAAGTAAAGACTTGGTGCAGAACAGTAACACCATTGTACGTTACACTTAGTAGCTGCAGAATTTGAAGTGTCAACTAGAAAACGTGGCAGCGATAAAAATAAATAAAATATGTAGAAGCTGTAGATTCACCTACACTGATATACTAGTCTCTCTTTTTCAGTGCAGGCTTTCTCCATGGAATATATGAGAAATGTATAATATTTCCCTCATAAGTTAACTGCACTGCTTAACAGAAGATGCTCAGCTTTTTATAATCCGTAATAATATTTTTATTTCTTATATTAATTCCATGCTCTTCTTTACATACCCTTGATTCATTCAAAGAGCTCCACTCTCAGTCTGTATGATTTCCACATACCTATTGCTGCAGGTATAACCCCACTCAGAAAAGAAGACTGCTCAAGCCAGTATTCAGACTCTAAGCCACATTTCATTAAACACACATGCAGCTAAGGAAATGTAAGAAAATTCTCAATCCTTATGAGGGCTTGATACTCCCTTTAAATTTTTCTCCTTTGTTCCGAGATTCTAGTATATGTGAAAGTCAACGATAGCAGAACTCAGAAAATTCACCACAGTTTTCAGAGTTCTTACAGTGCCAAACTAAAAAAGTAACTCCTGTAATAGTGCCTGTCTGTGCCAGACGATAAACAAGCCTCAAGACCTGCAAGCCAAATTTGTGAGGAGAAAAGCTAATAGCAGAGAACAAATTATCTCCTAGAACCTGTCAAGCCACTCTAAGGAATAAGTGATCATGAAACGAGGAATGTAATAGGGATCCAGACAGATGAACCAGGAAGTCCAGAAACTGCCAAGGTTCAACCCTCAAGAGGAACCTCTCATCACCTGTACCTCTGTGTCGATTTCACAGGCTACAAGTGGCTTTGCTTTACTTCTTTCTAGAAGACAATCTTTGCACACCTCCACATCCTTGGGCTTTTTCAGTTGAGAACTTCAGAAAATGTTTACAGAAAGAGAAGGAACTCCACAGTAGTTTTTAACAAGGGTACTTACTGTTTTAGTCCCAAGTTCTGTGAGTGGAACAAAGCAATACTACAGACTATATACCTTTGACGTCTTTGGTGACTTACTCTTCCCAAAAGGAGAAGAGTAGTTTCAATGAGGAGGTATAATTTCAATTCCT